CTACTTAGTAAGGCTAGCAGTAGGTTGTATATTTTGAGAATATGTAAATATTATGGCTACCCTATTGAGAATTTGGACTTACTTTTTCAAAGTTTGATTCTTTCAGTTTTTACATATGCTATTGAGGTCTGGGGGTGTGCTTTTTATAGTAAATATTTAAGTAGAATTGATAAGCTCTTTGCCAGGTGTTATAAGCTGGGTTACTGCTTAAAGCAACACAGTATCTTGGATATCCGTTGTAACAGAGATAAGAAATTACGGCAAAGGATCTCTTCCACCAACACTGCGTTGAGCGATCTCTTACCTCCCCAGAGAACACGGCAGTTGAGAACTAGGTCGCATTATTATATTTTGCCTAAGGTCCAGACAAGCCGTTTTAAATCAGTTTTTATTAATAGATGTCTTTTCAATAGTAAGTAATACCTTTTCTTTTTCCTTATTCATTTTATTCATGTTATTCATGTTAATTGTAGCACGTCTGTTTGCACAATAATTCTTAATAAAGACCTTTATTATTGTTAATTCATGCAATTAAGGTTTATCCCACTATCACCCCTGAGAGAGATAGGCATCTAATTTCTCCTTACAATATCACCCCTGAATCAAACATTAAGGTCAGGAGAATATAGCAAATGATCTCAACTAAAGCTCTTGATTGTAAAAAAAAATTCTTAAGAAATGTATGATTCTACTTAAGAACTTCAGAGAGAGAACACTATGGAGAAAATGCATACTGTGCATTCATCGAGATATGAAGCACACGGGAAGTTTGGAGAGCACTCAAGAAGCTAGAGTTGCTCTCGGCTGCGCCTTGAGCAACTCTTAACGCATCTTTTGTGCTCTCCAAACTTCCCACATGCTTCATATCTCGATGAATGCACCCTGACATATGAACCAATTGTTAAGCACAGGTTGCCAGATTGGCAACATCCACTGAAAATTTGTCACCAAAATTCTTCCTTGCCATCAAGCATTGTAAAGTTTGGAACAACTGTCAACAGTGACTAATATCCCTTAGGACTTGGCAAAACCTACCTCAAAGTTACTCTTGATGCGAGCAGGTGTAACACTTGTTTAATGTCAAATAATGTACATGAAAAAATTCTCAGTTCTGATTGGTTAAGATGAATGCAATTTTCGGTTAATTCAGTGCAGAAGAGAGTAAACTCAGTGCAGAAGCCTGTCAATGTCAAGGTCAATGTCACTTGCAGGGTTTGAATAAATTATTTTTGCACGTGATGCGCGCACTTTTCTTCTGGGTAGTTATGAGAAGCTACCTAGTATTTTTTCATGTATATTATTAATAGATAATCACATGATTTTCTCGTGCAATTTGGAATAAATGAGCACTTGTAAATTTTTTCAAAGGCTGCAAATTACACTCGCCCCACCGGCTCATGCAATTTTGTAAGTCTTTGAAAAAATTCACTCGTTTATTTATTCCATATTGCACTCGAAATCATGTGATTACCTCTACAAAAAATACCAAACAATCGCATCGTCAGTACAAATTTTGATCGATCAATTCTTGCAAAATACATAAATTTAATTTACAAGTGGTAAAAAATGAGATATCTTATATACATCCTATGTATAGAAGCTTGACCAGTCATCAGAAGTAGCGCTTGAGTATAAAACTTCGCGAATATCAGTTCAATTAGGATTTCTTTAACCATTTATGAAATAACATTAACTTTAACTTTAAGACGGGACGGGTGTGGACAAAACATGGGGTAGGCCATAGGGTAGGCCATAGGGTAGGCCATAGTGTCGTCCATGGCCTACCCTGTGGCCTACCCTATGGCCTACCGGTGGTCAGAGTTTTAAAAACATAAAAATTAAATCAGTAAGAGTCGAAGGAGTTCGCTGGCGTACAATTCTATGCCTCCAAAAAGGGTATACTAAAAAGTCACTTACCCGATTTTCAACGTCCGAAGGAACGAAACGATGCAAATATTACATCACTAAGTCTTGAAACATCGCTATCTCTGTCT